CAATGATTTTGTAGGAGAACAACTTATCAGCGACTATGAACACTGATGCTGATAAGCTTATAAACAGAATTAACAATGAACATAATCATAGAAAGCAACAACAATAAACAAAATAAGCTCATCATGCCTTTTCATAATAATCTTATTATGATTTTGCAAGATGAGAACTTATCAGCAATAAACAGTACAGTTAAGTTCACTGAATCAATGTTTAGCAATAAACAAAATAGACATAATAATTTTTTATCAATATTTGCGGAAAGAGAACTTATCAGTAATCATTGATCCACAATCCAGTTCATTGACGGTTCCTTGATCAACTGTGACTCTAAATTAGTAAGCATTACACTGATCATTGGCATCATAATTAATTAGTTAATTCAACTTTTGCTACATTAATTTCGCCACACCTTTACGACCAATTTGAGACTACCAGGCAACTATTTATAGCTAAAATTAGATTCACCAACTAAAACTATTGTTTTTCACACTTTTAACCAATTTTATTTTTTTAATGGCTTCAGTAACTGAATGCAAAAAAAAAAAAAAAATATTATGTCATGCTGGGCTAACGAAGAATCACGACGTTATAATAAGTTTAAACATATATCTGGACCACAAAGAAAATATACAGTATTTCGATTAGATTAATTTATTTTTAGTATCACGACACAATTGAACAAATCATATAAATCAAACTCGAAGAAAGAAAAAATGTATCATGACAAAAGAAACCAAACAAATAGATTTCTCAAACTATCCAGCAATATTGACTAGTCAGTTTTGTTTCACGGGGGAAAAGACAAAAGACGATGACTTGAAAAGTAAGCCAACTCTGCTCTCAACTCCAACAATTTCAAAGTCACTCTTTCTTTTTCAACCTTATCTTCTTGCTGAGAGCTCTCTTTACCTCGACCACATGATTATCATTACCCATAACAAATCGTCTCTTCTTGACTTGTACTCATTATTTAATTTGGTTGGACCAAAATGTTTGGAGCACAAATACATTCACTCTGTTTGCTCAACGTGAATAATACTTCGTACAAAGACTTGATGGTGAGTCAGTCTGGAGCACTCTCTATATGCAATGTATATAAAAGAGATGGGCATGAAACCATGTTTTGCTATCACCATTGCTATTTTTCGTTTCTTCATTATTGACTATTGGAACTCAATGAGTACCATTACAATTACTTTTTCTTTTCTCTTCTCCTTTATACTTTATTTCCAAAACGTGTCTGCAGTTCCTACTAAACATGTGTGTCGTCCTGAACAAAGGGATGCACTTCTCCAGTTCAAGAACAAGTTTGAGATTCGAGAGTCTTCTCATGATATGTGTTATTTTATTATTGGTAGCCATGATAGCTTTGTAAGCCATTATCCGAAGACGGAGTCATGGGGAAATAACAGTGATTGTTGTTATTGGGATGGCATCAAGTGTGATGCCAGTTCTGGGGAAGTGATAGAGCTCGACCTCAGTTGGAGCTGCCTCCATGGCAGGTTTCATTCGAATACCTTTCAAAACATTCCTTTTCTAATATCTCTAGACTTTTCACGTAATGATTTATATGGTCAGATCCCATCCTCTCTTGGAAAACTTTCTCATCTCACCTCTCTCAACCTTTCTCGTAATCATCTTTTTGGCCAGATTCCATCTTCAATTGGAACTCTTTCCAATCTCACCTCTCTCGCTCTTTCGGATAATCAGTTTTGGGGTCAGATTCCATCTTCAATTGGAACTCTTTCAAATCTCACCTCTCTTGACCTTTCTAATAATCAGTTTTGGGGTCAGATTCCATCCTCAATTGAAAATCTTTCAAATCTCATCTCTCTCGATCTTTCTGGTAATCAGTTTTCGGGTCAGATTCCATCCTCAATTGGAAATCTTTCAAATCTCACCTCTCTCACTCTTTCTCGTAATCAGTTTTGGGGTCAGATTCCATCCTCAATTGGAAATCTTTCCAATCTCACCTCTCTCGCTCTTTCGGATAATCAGTTTTGGGGTCTGATTCCATCCTCAATTGGAAACCTTTCACAACTCACCTCTCTCGATCTTTCTAATAATCGGTTTTGGAGTCAGATTCCATCTTCAATTACAAAGCTCTCTCATCTCGAATCTCTTGACCTGAGTTATAACAATTTTGATGGTGAAATCCCATCTTCTTTTGGCTGTTTGAAACAGTTGACCGGCTTAGATTTAGGATCCAATAAGCTTACTGGTAACTTTCCTGCTGCACTACTTAATTTGACAAAGTTGTCGTCTTTATCACTGAGCTCCAATCAACTCACAGGAACGCTTCCTCCAAACATTAGCTCACTCTCCAACTTGGAGTATTTTTTTGCATATCGCAACGCTTTGGTTGGAACCATTCCTTCTTCTCTCTTCAACATTCCTTCTTTAACAAATATTTTTTTGTCAAATAACCAACTCAACGGCACTGTTGAGTTTGGGAATATATCTTCACCATCGAAGCTTCAAGTGTTATACCTTGGCGATAACAACTTCAGAAGGCCAATCCCCATATCCATTTCCAAATTAGTCAATCTTGAGTATCTTGACCTTTCCCATTGGAACACCCAAGGCACAGTTGACTTCAGTATCTTCTCGAATCTTAAGTCGCTCCAATATCTTCGCCTCTCCCATTTGAACACCACAACAACGATTGACTTGCATGCAATCTCCTCAATTTCCCAGTCACTCCGGGGACTGGATCTCTCAGGGAACCATGTTTTAGCCACAAACAAAAGTTCAGTTTCAGATTCTCCTTCACAGATGATAAGTCAGTTAAACTTGTCAGGCTGTAGTATTACTGAAATTCCGGAGCTCCTAAGAACCCTGCAGGATATGGATACTCTAGACATTTCCAACAACAAAATCAAAGGTCAAGTTCCTGGCTGGTTATGGTCACTACCATATCTGACGTACGTGAATCTTTCCAACAACACTTTCGTTAACTTTGAAAGATCAACGAAACATGGACTATCCTCTGACCTGGAGTACTTGTTTGGCTCTAAAAACAACTTCATAGGAGAGATTCCATCTCTCATATGCGAGTTTCACTCTCTAAGGGTTCTAGATCTATCAAGCAACGATTTCAACGGTTTAATCCCTCTTTGTATGGGACATCTCAAGAGAAATCTCTCAGTTCTGAACCTACGTCAGAACCGTCTTAGTGGAGGTCTTCCGAAGAATGTATTTAAAGGTCTAAGAACGCTTGATCTTAGACATAACCAATTGGTGGGAAAGCTTCCAAGATCGTTGATCCATTTCTCCACTCTTGAAGTTCTGAATGTGGAAAGCAACAGAATCAACGACACGTTTCCCTTCTGGTTGAGTTCTCTACAGAACCTGCAAGTTCTTGTCTTACGCTCCAATGCATTCCATGGACCATTACATCAAGCCTCATTCTTTCAGCTGAAAATCATGGACATCTCACATAATCACTTCAGCCGAACTCTGCCATCTGATTACTTCATGAACTGGAGTTCAATGTCATCACTTGGGATTCATGAAGATCAGTCAAACGTAGGTTACATGGAAGACAAATCAGGCTATTACCATGACTCAATAGTTTTGGTGAATAAAGGAACAGAGATGGAGCTGGAACGTATCCTAAAAATCTACACAGCACTCGACTTCTCTGGAAACAAACTTGAAGGCGAGATTCCAAAGTCCATCGGCTTATTGAAAGAGCTTCGTGTTCTCAACTTGTCAAACAATGCTTTCAGTGGCCACATACCATCGTCCATGGGGAACCTTACAGCTCTCGAGTCACTAGACGTTTCCCAAAACAAGCTTTCAGGAGAAATTCCACAAGAGCTAGGGGATCTCTCGTTCCTTTCATACATGAACTTCTCCCATAACCAGCTTGTAGGTCTATTACCAGGAGGCACTCAGTTTCGAAGGCAGAACTGCTCTTCATTCGGAGACAACCCGGGACTTTTCGGCCCTGCTCTTGAAGATGATTGCGGAGATATCCACAAGCCTTCATCGCAACAGTCTGAAACGCCAGAGCCAAAAGAAGAAGAAGATAAAGAGGTGTTAAGTTGGATTGCAGCTGCAATAGGATTTGTACATGGGATTGCGTTTGGGTTGACGATTGGATACATATTGGTTTCATACAAACCAGAGTGGTTCACGAGTCCTTTTGGTCGAAACAAAAACAGAAGCAGAAGAAGCACCACAGCTAACTAGATAGGTAATGTTCTGATTTTTTTTAAAATATATTATAATAGCATTTTCTGGATGAATGAATAAGTGAAACTAACGTATATTTTGTTTGTGTAGCCTTCGTAAACCCTACTTGAAGAATATTTGCAAAAAGTTTGGGGTAGAAGACAACCCATTTCAGTTATCAGCGCCTTGATTTCAGTTATTGTTTTTGTTGTGTTCTTTCCTCTGTTTTCCTCTTTTACTTTGTCTTTAGCCAATGTTTGTATTTCTATGTATTTATAGCACAAAATATTCCTGTTTATTTGATGGACATGATTATACATAGTTAAGGTCCAATCATAAGGATTTATCAAAAGAGATATATTTACCATAACAGATTTCGTCTTTCTTCTCTTCAGGCTCCTGTGAACTATGTGTGTTTACATTGTGTGAAACCAAGCTTAAGACCATAATCAACGGCTCTCTCTACCGTTGCGATTCACATATTTGGCGATGTTCCTTGACAAAAGATCAGAGAGAAGTGATCCTAGCAATACATATTTGGCGATGTTCCATAATCAACTTCTTCTAGTCGGTATCGTTCAGGTAAAAAATATCTCTTCCTGCCATCGCCAATAATTGAAAGAACAGAAACCAAAATGCTCCATTGTTGGAGAAAAACAGCATTGATTCTTACATCGGTTCTGTTCTTAGCTGCTGCTATAGCTATATGGTATATTAATTTATATAGATTCTACGGTATAACATAAACTGTTGATGAATAACATAAAACAATGAAGAATCTGAGTTTAAAACAGGGGAGAAAAAGTTTGAGGGTAATCGATTAATAGAGCCTACCGGTACACTCAGAAGAACCACAGTAGCAAATCTTCTTCTTGATATTACCGTTAACATCGCGCACCTGGTCGATCATGTAATTGTAATGGTAAGTGAGTTCTTGAAGCGGAGGTATATTGTCCATCGCAAAGAGCATCACGTGAGGGATCCTCTTGTCTTCATGGTCATACAACACGTTCTGCGCATACAGATTCGGCGAGCAGCTATGGTTTATAAACCTCCCGATGTTCCCTTTCTTCGCAGCGTCGACGGTGAACCCCGTCGTCTCACCACCATCTTCTTCTTCTTTCTCTTTCTCCAACCCTGGCATTAGCTTCGACATCCCTTCAGCTAAAGTGTTGTCGTATTTGTTCCCAATGTCAAAGAGATACTCGTCGTTCCCTGTTCTTCTCTCAGCTTCTTTATCCTCCAAAAGCTCGCCGACGTACTCGCATATGAAGCTACCCGAAGGTATCGAGCTGAGAGATCTCACTCCCCAATCTCTCGACTCTGTTTTGAAGATCTCGAGCTTGAACCTGATCCCTCGCTGCGTGACTCTTAGGTAGCAAGCAGGAGGACATTTGCAGAGAGGGCCACACTCGTAGATCAAGCTCTTTGGGTAAACTATGTTCCCATCGTAGTTGTAAGGTATCTCTCCTCCGTTTTTCGCCACGCAGAGAGCGCAGTTTCTTCGCTCTTTCGTCTTCACAACGTTTGGCTCTTCAAAAGAACCAATCTGGCAAAAAAATGCTCAGAGGCTGAACATTCCTCTTTCTTCGGTTCTTGCGAGAGAACTTGATTGAGTTCCATATCATCATTACATCATCTCGCTTTTCCAAGTTTTCTTCCTCTTTGGCTCAGAAACATTACTTTCGCTCAGAGACATTACTTTTGCTCAATGAACTAACTTTCGATGACTCTGTGTTCACCATGTTTTCCACTACACCCATTCCAAAACTCATCAAAGAGACGCACACCAATGTTTTTCTATGAAGCAAAAGTTCACCAGATTTGTACTGCAACAATGAACAATTTGGCAAATCAAAAACCAAAGCACACGAAAAACATCAATTCATAATATTCCAAAATCTAATTTTCGTTCGTTTTCAAGGATTCTAAGCTAAGATTTCGCGGAAACAAAACACCAAATTTCCGAATCATGCAGGACAACATCACGATCTCTCAATACATCAATCGTTCAAACAGAAACGCGGAGGAATCGATCGATTACATAATCAAACGCGGAGCAGCAAAAGAGTGGGAAACAGACCAAGATTAAGGTAAGGGACAATATATACCGATGAGAAGAGCGATCGATGCGGAGAAGAAGATGATGATGAATCGGATTTCGATCTGCCTGAAGTTTCTCAATAGTCAGAACTCGAATTCGATTCTAGCTCAAATCGGGATGTTTGATTTGATTGAGATCATTTGTAGGAAACAAAGGAACAAATTTGCGATTTGTAATTTTTTTTTCAACTGAATTTTATTAAGATCACATTGGAATACACGATAGGATTCGAAACACATTACTAGAAATTGGAATTAAGCCTAAAAATCAGACCAATTTATCTAGATGCAAGAGGAAAACAACAGAAAGCACATTTGTTGAATTTACATCATTTAAATTATACAAGATGAGATAGAGACACAGTAATAGATGCTTGTGTCGCAAGCAAGGGCTACTTCATCTCAGTTCCAAGAAGAGATAATACTTATTCTCTTTGGCTTCTCGTTGGTTTTGCAGAGCTTTCAAAAGAATTTATTTGCATGTCTTCTGTCCATAGTGCACATCATAGTTTTCAATGGAGCAGCTTATTCTAAAGAAGATAATTGGACCAATGTTCAACAGTAAAAATAATCAGCTAATCAATGATTTTGTAGGAGATAACTTATCAGCGACTATGAACACAACAGAATTAGCAATGAACATGATCATAGAAAGCAACAACAATAAACAAAATAAGCTCATGATGCCTTTTCATAATAATCTTATTAAGAAGATGAGAACTAATCAGCAATGAACAGTACAGTTAAGTTCACTGAATCAATGTTTAGCAATAAACATAATCAGAAATAAATAAAATACATACTACTTTTTTATCAATATTTGCGGGAAGAGAATTTATCAGCAATCACTGATCCATGATATTAAGTTCATTGACGGATCCTTGATCAACTGTGACTCGAAATTAGTAAGCATTACACTGATCATTGGCATCATAATTAGTTGGTTCAACTTTTGCTACCTTTACGACCAATTTGAGACTGAATGCAAAAAGAAGGTTCACAAGCCTAACAAGCAAAATTATGTCATGCGGCAAATCTACAGTAATTCGATTGCTGGGCTAACGAAGAATCACGACGTTATAATTAGTTTAAACATATATCTAGATCACAAAGAATAGAAACTCTATAAATTAATAATATTGGGATTTTGATATTTTATTAATTTATAGAGTTATTAATTTATCAGTTTTGGATAAAATAATAAAGAGAAATTCCCTCAAATACACTTAATCTAAGTTTTTGTTCTATATATACACTAACACTCTACAAAATTCTTTCCATAATATTTTGTACCATATTAATCTTAGTTAGACAAAATATTAGTTAATAAAAAGAAAAGAAAAATAATGTACAAACAAATGTATCAATGGCCAAGACTGATCTGAAATTCGAATTATTTGTTTTGTTTAGGATCTCTCTTCCCATTTGATTGTGATTTGTGATTGTGAATCTCTTAGATCTTTGAGGTTTTTTAATGGGAAAGTGATTTCAGAATTTAAAGTTCAAAATCATATAATGATAGATAGATCTGATACAATTAGGTGAAAACTCAAGAAATCCGAGCTAAAACAGCAACAATGGTGAAAAAAAAAAAAAAAATCGGCGGAAATTAGGGCTTGGATGTCGCAGATGTGAGGAAAGAGATGAGCATAAATTTAGGAAGATAATCTAAAGTTTTAGGAAGATTTTCCTAAAATATATAATTTAAGAAAGTCATTACATATATTTAGAAATGCCTTCGTAAATCGTATAATTCATTATTATTTTTGTTAATTTATACAACTCAAATTCAAAAAACTCTTCTAGGAAACTTTTCCACAATTTAGGAAACCATTCCACAATTCAAAAAACTCTTCCACAATTTAGTAAGCCCTTCCACAATACAGGAACATTTTTAAAAAATTAGGAACGTTTTCAAAAACCATATGAAACGATGTTAAATTCTAGTATTTGGAATATCTTGCTAAAAAAATCATGCAACATTAACAGAAAAAAACATTTAGGAAGACTTTCCTAAATGGTAAAATCGAAAACTTAAATGAAAAATGTTAGGAATGGAAAAATTTCAGTTTCCCTATTATATTTGTCCTGAAAACTTATTTTTAGTGTAATTATGGAAATTGCCCTAAAATAAATTGTTTATTAATAATTAATTAAAAATAATATTTTCTGTAAAATTTATAATATTTTCTAAAACGTTTATTATAAAATTAGAAATATATAATAAAAATGTTTCAATTTTAATATGAAAAACAATAATATAATCATATTTTAATAGATTACCATAATTATATATTTATATAAAATTGTATTATATAATATCTATTAATTTATAATATTAAAGGAATTATATTTTATATCGATTTTTTTAAAAAAATATTATCTTATTAATTTATCAATTTATATTAAATTTTGAATCAATCCAACTCTTAACTGAGCAAAATTATTAATTTATCAAATATTAATTTATGAAGTTTCTACTGTATACAGTAATTCGATTAGATTAATTTATTTTTAGTATCACAATACAATTGATATTAATCAAACTCGAATAAAGAAAAACTGTATCATGACAAAAGATCAAACAAACAAACATATAGATTTCTCAAACTATTCAGCAATATTTGACTAGTCAGTTTTGTTTCACGGGGGAAAAGTCAAAAGACGATGACTTGAAAAGTAAGCCAACTCTGCTCTCAACTCCAACAATTTCAAAGTCTCTATTTCTTTTTCAACCTTATCTTCTTCAGAGCTCTGACCACATGATTATCAATACCCATAACAAATCGTCTCTTCTTGACTTCTACTCTTTTTGTAATGTGTATATTTAATTTCTTTTTCATTAAGGATTTCGTTATTTTTTGTTGTGTATATCTTTTAATTTGGTTGGACCAAAATGTTTGGAACACAAATACATTTACTCTGTTTTCTGAGTGGGATACAAATAATAACACTTCGTACAAAGACTTGATGATGAGAGTCAATCTGAGTGAATCTGGAGGACTCTCTATATAAAATCTATATAAAGAGACTGGGCATGAAACCATGTTTTACTATCACCATTTCCATCTTTCGCTTCTTCATTATTGGTATTGAAGAAAGTTAAATTAGCTTAAAGAAGAAGAACGAAAGGCTGTTGGAACTCAATGAGGACCATTCATATCACTTTTTCTTTTCTCTTCTCTTTTATACTTTATTTTCAAAACGTGTCTGCAGTTCCTATTAGGCATGTGTGTCGTCCTGAACAAAGGGATGCACTTCTCGAGTTCAAGAACGAGTTTGAGATCAGGAAGTCTTCTTCTCCTGGGTGTAATGTTAATGATAGTGATGTAATGCCTCATCCAAAGACGGAGTCGTGGAAAAATAGCAGTGATTGTTGTTATTGGGAAGGTATCAAGTGCAATGCCAAGTCTGGGGAAGTGATCGAGCTAGATCTCAGCTGCAGCTGCCTCAATGGCAGGTTTCATTCGAATACCTTTCAAAACATTCGTTTTCTATCTTCTCTAGACTTTTCATGGAATTATTTATATGGTCAAATCCCATCCTCTATTGGAAAACTTTATCATCTCACCTCTCTCGACCTTTCCTATAATCAACAATTGTCGGGTCAGATTCCATCTTCAATTGGAAATCTTACACATCTCACTTCTCTAGCTCTTTCTGTTAATCAATTTTTGGGTCAGATTCCATCTTCAATTGAAAATCTTTCAAATCTCACCTCTCTTGCTCTTTCTAATAATCAGTTTTCTGGTCAGATTCCATCTGCAATTGGAAACCTTTCACATCTCACCTCTCTCGATCTTTTTGGTAATCAGTGTTCGGGTAAGATTCCATCTTCAATTGGAAAGCTATCTCATCTCGATTCTCTCAGACTTTCTGATAATCTGTTTTCTGGTCAGATTCCATCTTGAATTGGAAGTCTTTCACATCTCACCTCTCTCGATCTTTCCTCTCTGGATCTTTCTTATAATCAGTTTTGGGGTCAGATTCCATCCTCAATTGGAAATCTTGACCTGAGTTAGAACAATTTCGATGGTGAAATCCCATCTTCTTTTGGCAGTTTGAAACAGTTGACCAAGTTAAGATTATACTCAAATAAGCTTAGTGGAAACTTTCCTGTTGTATTACTTAATTTGACAAAGCTGTCGTTTTTATCACTCTTCTCCAATCAGCTCACAGGAAGGCTTCCACCAAACATTACCTCATTCTCCAACTTGGAGTATTTTTACGCACATTATAACAATTTCGTTGGAACCATTCCTTCTTCTCTCTTCAACATTCCTTCTTTAGTACATATTTATTTGTCAAATAACCAACTCAGTGGCACTCTTGAGTTTTGGAATATATCTTCACCATCTAATCTTCTATGGCTATATCTTGGAGATAACAACTTCAGAGGGCCAATCCCTAGATCCATTTCCAAATTAGTCAATCTTGAGTATCTTGACCTTTCCCATTGGAACACCCAAGGCCCAGTTGACCTCAGTATCTTCTCTCATCTGAAGTCGCTTTCCAGACTTGACCTCTCCCATTTGAACACCACAACAACGATTAACTTGAATGCAATCTCATCATTTTCCAAGACGCTGGACAGACTGGATCTCTCAGGAAACCATGTTTTAGCCACAAACAAAAGTTCAGTTTCAGATCATCCTTCACAAATGATAGAATTTCCAGAGCTACTAAGATTCCAGCAGGATATGGATACTCTAGACATTTCCAACAACAAAATCAAAGGTCAAGTTCCTGGGTGGTTATGGACGCTACCAAATCTGAGGTTTGTGGATCTTTCCAACAACACATTCGTCAACTTTGAAAGATCAATGAACCATGGATTATCCTCTGTCCTGGAGTACTTGTCTGGCTCTAAAAACAACTTCACAGGAGAGATTCCATCTCTCATATGCGAGTTGCACTCTCTAAACACTCTGGATTTATCAAACAACAATTTCAATGGTTCAATACCTCTTTGCATGGGAAATCTCAAGAGCAATCTCTCAGTTCTGAACCTACGTCAGAATCGTCTTAGTGGAGGTCTTCCCAAGAATGTATTTAAAGGTCTAAGAACGCTTGATCTTGGACATAACCAACTGGTGGGAAAGCTTCCAAGATGTTTGGTTCATTTCTCCGCTCTTGAAGTTCTGAATGTGGAAAGCAACAGAATCAACGACACGTTTCCATTCTGGTTGAGTTCTCTACAAAACCTGCAAGTTCTTGTCTTGCGCTCCAATGCATTCCATGGACGGATACATCAAGCCTCGTTCTTTCAGCTGAAAATCTTGGACATCTCACATAATCACTTCAGCGGAACTTTTCCATCTGATTGTTTTGTGAGTTGGAGTGCAATGTCATCACATGCTGGGACAAGCCAAGATCCGTTCACTGAAAATTATATGGGAGACAGTTATTACTACGATTCAATGGTTTTGGTGAATAAAGGCGTAGCATTGGAGCTGGAACGTATCCTAAAAATCTACACAGCACTCGACTTCTCTGGAAACAAACTTGAAGGAGAGATTCCAAAGTCCATCGGCTTACTGAAAGAGCTTCACGTGCTCAACTTGTCAAACAATGCTTTCACTGGCCACATTCCATCGTCCATGGGGAACCTTACAGCTCTTGAGTCACTAGACGTTTCCCAAAACAAGCTTTCTGGAGAAATTCCACAAGAGCTAGGGAATCTCTCGTTCCTTGAGTACATGAACTTCTCCCATAACCAGTTTGTAGGTCTATTACCCGGAGGCACTCAGTTTTGAAGGCAGCCTTGCTCTTCCTTCGACAACAACTCGGGACTTTTCGGCTCCGCTCTTGAAGATAATTGCGGAGATATCCACAAGCCTTCATCGCAACAGTCTGAAACGCCAAAGCCAGAAGAAGAGGATGAAGAGGTGTTAAGTTGGATTGCAGCTGCAATCGGATTTGTACCTGGTATTGCGTTTGGGTTGACGATTGGATACATATTGGTTTCATACAAACCAGAGTGGTTCACGAGTCCTTTTGGTCGAAACAAACGCAGAAGAAGAAGAAGCACCACAGCTAACTAGAGAGGTAATGTTTCTGAATTTGAAAGAATATATTATAATAGGATTTTCTGGATGAATGAATAAGTGAAACTAACGTATATTTTGTTTGTGTAGCCTTCGTAAACCCAACTTGAAGAATCTTTGAGAAAGAGAATGAAGCTTGGGGGAGAAGGCAACCCATTTATCAGTGTCTTGATTTCAGTTATTGTTTCCGGTTACTCTGTTTTTGTTGTGTTCTTTCCTCTGTTTTTTCTCTTTTACTTTTTCTTTAGCCAATGTTTGTATTTCTATGTATTCCTGTTTATTTGATGGACATGATTATACATAGGCAAGGTCCAATCCTAAGAGGATTTATCAAGAGAGATATATTTACCATAATATGAACTATGTGTTTACATTGTGTGAAACCAAGTTTCTTAGGAGAACAAAACAGAAACCAAAATGCTCCATTGTTGTTGTATATGCAGGATCATATCAACAGTTGGAGAAAAACAGCATTGATTCTTACATCGGTTCTGTTCTTAGCTGCTGCTATATGGTATGTTAATTTATATAGATTCTACGCTATAACATAAACTGTTCATGAATAACATAAAAACAATGAAGAATATGAGTTTAAAACAGGGGAGAAAAGTTTGAGGCTAAATCAATTAATAGAGCCTACCGGTACACTCAGAAGAACCACAGTAGCAAATCTTCTTCTTGATATTACCGTTAACATCGCATACCTGATCGATCATGTAATTATAATGGTAAGTGAGTTTTTGAAGCGGAGGTATATTGTCCATCGCAAAGAGCATCACATGAGGGATCCTCTTGTCTTCATGATCATACAACACATTCTGCGCATACAGATTCGGCGAGCAGCTAGGGTTTATAAACCTCCCGATATTCCCTTTCTTCGCGGTGTCGACGGTGAACCCGTCGTCTCACCACCATTGCCACCATCTTCTTCTTCTTTCTCTTTCTCCATCCCTGGCATTAGTTTCGACATCCCTTCGGCTAAAGTGTTTCGTATTTGTTCCTGTTAAGTACTTGGTGATGAAAATCAGTTCTGAAGCGGGCTTAAACCAAGACGGTTATGTCAAATTAAGCTACCAGTTATTGTTAGTTTGATTGGTTTACGGTTTGGAAAGTGAACCGACTGAAATCTTGTAATTAGCTTTAGTATATCAGCTAAAGCGTGAATGACTTTCTCTCTGATCGGTGATTGAGTTGTAACAGAGAGAGAGGAGAGATTGTAATCAAGAACACGATAGTGGATTACTGGAAGATCTCCTGGCCGAGACGTAGGATTCTCATTCCGAGATCCGAACTCATTAAATTCTCTGTGTACTTTCTTTCTCGTTTTTTTTGTGTTCATCTTCCTTCTTTGAGCGATTGTGAGTTGAGTGAAATCGGAGAAGTTTCGAGGTATCAAACACTACAAGTGGTATCAGAGCTTCGTTGAAGCGATGAGCGAAGATTACAGTCACTGAATTCGATGGTACCGGCAATTTCTCGATGTGGAAGAAGAGGATGCTCGCGCATCTATCACTCATGGGCCTAAATGATGTTCTGATCGAGACGATTCCAGAAGCGAAGGCGATGAAGAAACGCGAAGATCCAGAAGCTTTCAAAGAAAGGTTGCAGCTTGAGGAAATCAACAGACTCGAGCGAGCTGAGAGAGCGATGAACATGCTGGTTCTGAATCTCTCAGATCAGGTTCTAAGAAAGCTGGAAGAGTATACGACGGCAAGCGAAATATGAGCGGCTCTTGAAAGAGTGTACAATGTGCAAACGCTTCCAAATCAAATTCATCTTCAGCACAAATTCTACACTTTCAAGATGACTGACTCAAAATCTATCGATCAAAATGTCGATGATTTCTTGAAGCTTGTATCGGGGTTGAGCAGCGTGAAGGTCTCTGTAACGGAGGAGGTACAAGCCATCTTGCTGTTGAACTCTCTACCATCTGCGTACAACTCTCTAAAGGAGACTCTAAAGTACGGCAGAGAGACTCTTACCATTGAGTCTGTCACGAACTCAGCCAAGTCCAAGGAGATCGAGTTAAGAGAAGCAAAAGATCTAAGTAACTCTCAGAAAGGCGGAGAAGCCCTCGCTGCTCGTGGAAGAACAGAAAAGAGAGAATCTGGAAATAGGAAAGGGAAAAATAGATCGAGATAAGCTCAGGGTCTAAGGTGACTTGCTGGTATTGCAAGAAAGAAGGTCATAAGAAAGCTGACTGTTATGCCAGGAAAAGAAAAATGGAGTCTGAAGAAGGTGCTGAAGCAGCTGTTGTGATAAACACATCCCAGGACAGTGATGCTTTAACGGCTTCAGGGATAGGCACCAAGACAAATGGATAATAGACTCGAGGTGCTCTTACCATATGACTTCAAGGCGTGATTGGTTTGATGAGTTTGAGGAGCTAACTTCAGGGAAGGTCCTTCTTGGTGATGACTTCTCAGTGGAAGTAAAAGGGATCGGCTCAATCAACATCAAAGCGTACGGCGGTACAGTCAAAACTCTATCCAATGTCAGGTATGTTCCTAAACTCAAACGGAACCTTCTCTCGACTAGAACACTGGATAGGCTAGGTTTTGATCATGCTGGAGGAAATGGAAAGACTAGGTTTTATAAGAACAAGAAACTAGCTCTTCAGGGAACTCTAGTTGGTACATTGTATCTGTTGGATGGTGAAACTGTGACAGGTGAAACCAACAGTAATGTCGCAAAGAAACTGTCAAAGGATGAGACAGTTCTTTGGCATAGACGGCTCAGGCACATGAGTATGAAGAACTTGCGGATCCTAGCTCAGAAAGGGATAATAGACAAAAGAAGAATAGGTGTTCTGAGTTTCTGTGAGAGCTGTGTGATGGGAAAGCACAAGAAAGCTAGCTTTCACATTGGCAAGTACGGTTCAGGGGAAGCTCTCAAATACGTTCACTCTGATCTCTAGGGCTCTCCAAATGTTACACCAAGCATGTCTGGAAAGACGTATTTTCTGTCAATCATAGACGAGTATACAAGGAAGGTTTGGGT